AAATTTGGTACTCTGTAATAATTAAAAGTTAATTTATTTTTTTAAAATTTTATTACACGTTTAATTCCAGAAAATACAAGTTAATATCCAATATTAACATGACTTGTTAATATCAATAGTTTTTGGTAAATTCTGAAGCAAAAACCTTTTTTTTCTCTCCTCTATCACCACCGAACCACCACTCGCGCCACCTTCTAACTACCACACCACCACCAACACCGTCATCCGACCATCGCACGGCCACTAGGCACTAGCATGACCATCCGACCGTGTGATCACTACCACCATCAATCGACCACTTCCACCACTAATCGACCACTTCATAGCCATTAGTCCACTAACTTGCCCCTCGTGTTCACCAAAAAAAAAAAAAAAAAACTAAACGACCGTCGCACCTCCGCGCGCACCACCCTTTCTCTAAAGGGGTTAGTATGGGCCCACTTTACATATGTCTTACTAGGGTGTATTTTGTTTGGTCGATTGGCTGGTTTAGACTCGTGATGGTGGTCGGATGGGCGGAAAGGCCATGGGACTATGGGAGGGGAGGAGAGAGAAGGAATAGTGGCCATAGGAGGGGAGGATAAACAAAATTGAGTGGTCATGGGAGGGGAGGAGAGACAAAATTGAGTGGTCATGGGAGGGGAGGAGAGACAAAATTGAGTGGCCATGGGAGGGGGGGGGGGAGAGAAGTGCTATTATTTTCAAAAATGTCACTATATTAACAAGTGACTTTAGTATAGGATATTAATGGGGACTATCTCATTTAATTGTTAGTTTATGTTTTCAATAGGTCATTATTTGACCCTACATTTGGTGTGATCAACATTATCCTCGAAAGGCTTGAATTCATATTTGATTATTGATTTTATTTGGTAAAGTCTCTTCAAATTCTAGTTTTTAAATAATTTTTAGCTTTTTTTTTCCACACTACTTATTTATGTTTATTGACAATAACATAAAATATATACCATTTGTCTTTGCATTGTACATAGTATTTTTTAAAGTGACTTTTGACATAAGTTTATATAATTTGTTTTTTTGACATCACAATAAAAAGATAGGACTACGTTACAAAGCTTGACAAACTAGTTCTACAACTATTAGCAATATCATGTGCTGTTTTAACACGCTCCCTATCTACTTTCAAATTACACACCTCTGAAATTTAAGGCCTCACTGTTGAATGCCTTCAAAAGTCCAACGATTACTAATAAACCCATTTGTGTCTCCCCTAAACCAAACCCAGTGATAAATATCTTTCACGTCGAATGATGATCGAATAAAGTGAAAGTGTGAAAAGTCTAGTGTTGCGGTAGTTTTTATCTAAAACCTTTCATTGTGTTTTCGAAAACCTGCTCTATTTTATAAAAACATCCAATCAAGTTTAGTTTAGTCCATGATAAGGGTCCAATAATGGTTTAGTTGAATGGGGCTTGAAAAAAATCTTTCCAACAATATATTATAAGCCCAATTCCGATGAATAATGAGGAAGTTATGACCAAAATACTAAACTGGGCCCAAACCGGATTTTACCTACGACCCAATGATCATGTGTGGAGGGTCCAAGGGTTTAATCATATTCCTAAAATAATTAGGATTGATTAGAAGCTTCTATAATTTTCTAAAATATCATAATTATCCTTTTTGAAAAGATAATATCTAAGAGTTTGAAATTGAATAAAATTCCTCTTTTTGAGAGTCTTAATTCTATTCGAATTTAAAGATGTTCGAAGATGATCAGATGTTATTTTTGTGCCTCATAATCTTTATCTAAATTTCATATGGTTGGATAGATCTTTCAATTATCTTTCCAATGATATATTATAATATTAATTCCAAGCTATAACGAAAAAGATATGAAAGAAATACGAAATTCTATCCAAAACTAACACCCTTCCACTATTTCGGCAATATCTTTTTATCTAAAAAATATTTTAATCTGATTCTAATTTGGTTGAAAAGTAGATTTCAAGAGATTTTCAACGACATATTATATGCCTTATTTGGACTTCTGGATCAAAAGTTATGATAAAAACAAAATCCACAAAAAACTGTTTCAACGCCAAGTGACAGTACTTTTATTCCGATTCGAATTCTAACTCTTTTCTATCATTTCCGGACTATTTTCTCTATAAGTAGAGGTCATATTCCCCTTTTTCAAATAATCAACAATCATAAAAATTCCCTAATTCTCTCTCTTCACTCTTCAGCAATATAACTTTCTCTCTCTCTCTTTCTAAACCAGCAACCCTTTTGCAAACATAATTCCGCATTCACAAGATCTATACACACCTAGCTGAGTTTGAAGTTGCCTTCACCCTAGACGTGAAAGGTTGATAATTTCTGAGGGTTTGGTCCCAAATCAAGTCTATACTTTTTAGCTCTTTCTTTCAATTATTTGATTTAATTATTTGATTTGTTATTTTCTTGAAGTTTACAAACTCGTGTATTTTGTTATTAGAAAGAGGTAAGAGGGTTCAAAGTAAGTAATTAGCTTAATCTCTATTGTATCGATGTAGAAAGCACGCTTAGATTTTGTTTAATTCCTAGTATCCTGATATGATGTTATGATTGTTTCTAGTATCATGTTTAGGTTGCTTTTTACTCTTTCTAATAGCATGTTAGTATCATGTTAGGGCTAAAGCTTTGATCTTTATTGCTTAGTGACATGTTAGGGTTTGTTATTAATCTTGTTAGTATCATGCCTAGGATCTTGCTATTGTTATTATGCTTTAGCGTTAATATGATTTGTTAACATGTTGTTTGATGCATGTATATTATTGTTATTGCTTGATCACGCCTTTTATACAGGTTTAAGAGGATTTTGTACTTGTAATCACACCTAATAAGATAATTAATAATTCGATTTAGGCTAATATGATTTTGATTCAAGTGATCGCTAATTATAGTTTTATTTGTGCATTAATATTCAACCAACATAGATTAAGCATGTTTTTTTTTTTTGGAAGGTAAGAAAGTATTATAAATCAGAAACTGTACAAATGTACAAGAACATACATCCTGTCAAAACAGGATAACTTCATACTACACAAGCCTTACGAAAAAAGGGCACACCACCCCCATCCAAATCAAGGGATCCTGATCACCTTCTAGGAAGAGTACCAGGACACACAAGAAACAGAAAACCAGGTTCAGAGACCCCTGGTACCTTCTAGGAAGGGCACAGGGAAACCAAAACCTGCACAGACAAACACACTAACACCCAAAACAAACCAGTTCATCATACAAAACAAGAAAACAGACAACACATCTAGACACTAATTCTAAGCTGATGGAGCCATTTAAAATCAGCAAAAGTCCAAGTATGATTGATAAGCTGCTGACCTCTAGTCACTACCTCCCTTCTAATGACCTTAGCTACAAATTCAGGTCCAAGAACAGCACTATGACAGAGAGCATGATTCCTAGCAATCCAAATACTATAAACAACACCAGCCAAGCTGGCCAGGATCAAGTTCTTCTGAACATGGTTCCTTCCCTCAGCTTTCCATAACTTCCAGTTGTGAAGAATGTCTACCTGATCTTTGTCAAAATCAATCCATTGGGAGACAGCCTTCAACACTTTCCTGCTGAAACTACAGGAGAAGAAAAGATGACTGCAATTTTCCACATCATCACCACAAAGCAAACAGTCACTGCTATTACTCACCCCATATTGAAAGAGCTTATCTCTAGTTTTGAGTCTTCCCATGACAGAAAGACAAACAATAAAGGTATGTTTTGGGATATTGAAATGATTCCAAACCCATTTATACCATTGAACCTTATCCAAATCATCCTGCAACCAACTATAACCATCTCTGATTTTGTACTTATAACTCAACCAGCTTTTGAGATAAAACCATGTCTCAAGTCATCTTTAACTTTGCATAGTAATAGGTTTAGGGTTAACCTAATGATTGCATGTTAGTCAGAAAGTGCACATGAATACGAGTAGAATAAAGTAGAGGCTTATTTTATAGGGCATGTTCTTTCTATTTTAGATTGGATTCGTACCCTCATTCCCGGACACCAGTCATGGTTCCAGACCTATTGGAGTTGATGATCTCATGGATCGTTAATGGGTGTAACCTTCACCCAGTGAACGGTTTACAAGTTCCTAAAACTTGTTGGCGACTCTTTTGCTCTAGCTTCTTTCCCTTTGGACGCCACCATGCTTAAGTGTATGATCACAGTGGGGTTAAAGTTTGAGACAATGCTTGAAGTATTCCCTACAGCACCCCATTGCATAGAATCATCACCAGCTCACAAGAATATGTAAAAACAACAATGTTGGCGCAACCTTTAGAGATAGCCCATCTAAGAGCATATAGGAGAGCAAATGCTTCCGCATGTAGAGCCGAAATTTCCCTGCCAAAAGATCCTCCACCATACTGGAATACCCCTCCATTTTTATAGACAACCCACCCTAATCTCGCATTTCCTGAGTGCTTTTGCCAAGATCCATTAATCACCACTGTCATCCCCGTCCCCTCGTCCTGCGGTCTAGCTGAATGATAAGCATGTTGTCTTATTGAAGAATGAAAAAACCTGGAGGGGGGCTCAAGTGCATGATTCCTGAGTTTTTAGACGAGGTAAAACCCTCTTTATCCTGAAACACTTGTAACCCCTGTGTTGTGGCCCTAAGTGTAGCACTAAAATGAGTTAAAGACCATTCTTCACCATTAAATACTCGTGAAATACTAGAGGCCCAAATACTCCACAAAACACCGATGAACTCCTCCAAATTGTCACTATGTAACCCATCCTTACTATAAAACAGCAAGATATATTTATAAATCCATTGTTGTAGTGAAATGGACTCATTCAGATCTGATTGAATACGTAGAGAGCACGTCGTACTCCAAGCATGTTGAGCTAAGGGGCAAAGCCGAAAGAGATGTTGCATATCCTCTAGGTCCCCCTCACAGTAATCACAGACCGGATCGATGAAGCACATTAATATCGTTGCAGCTACCTGGCATCCCAAAGAACGAATGTCATATCCATAGATCTTTGTCCGCAACTGCCTCCAGTACGAGAGTTGCAACTCCTTCTCTTCCTTGATACTGCCCCTTCCATGCGTGTGAACAATTCTTCCACTCCCAGTGCATACAATCAATGCTGCCTATCATGCCAGGAAATCCACGTTCTTCCCCAATACGTAGCAATCTTTCCATATCTGCGATGTTTGGACGGCGTAGGTACTGATCACCGAACAGGTTGATGACACCTTCTGTAAACTTTTGGAGTGCCAATCGTGAAGTTGCCTCACTTATACGGACATACTCATCGCAAGCGTCTGAAGCACACCCGTAAGCTAGTTGTCTAACGGCCGCAGTGCACTTTTGAAGTGGAGACAAACCAAGACGACTTGCCGCATCTCGCCTTTGTTGAAACCAGGGGTCATGTTGGGTCACTCCGTTGAGAAGGCGCTCAAACACATGTTTACGCATTCTAAACCGGCGCCGGAACAAGGAACTTGGATAAACAGGGACTTCCGCGAAATAGTCATTGTATAACCGTGCATGACCTTCTTCGCGTCCCCTATCCTTTCGGGGCTCAGTAGATTTGCGTCGGCGTTGCTGAGTGGCAGCTTGAATAATTGGTGGAATGTACTCATGCATTACGTGTTGTATCATAAGACACACTTCATTACGTTGTTGAACTCTAAGCTCCCTTCCCTCATCATCCGAGTTAGATGAAGATGAAGAGGAATCGGTTGAGCTTTCGTTTAAACTGTTTGAATTCATTTTGTACGTAAGAAATGTAAGATAGAGTGAGGTTTGCTAATAGTAACTGCAAACGATTTATGTGTTTGTGTGTAAAAAAAATGAAAGAATGGTGTTTATTTATAGTGAACTAATTTGTAATTCTTCTTCAGAAATAACTAAATATAAAGAGACAAAGATCACATGGGCTATGACAAACAATGAATTACAACCACACAGAAATTGAATGGAGAAGAAGGGTTTCACATGGGCTATGACCAACACTGGATTAGAACCACACATAAATTGAATGGAGAAGAAGGGTTTCACATGGGCTAACAAAGGGGAAATTAAGATACTGACACAATTATATATAAAGAGACAAATTGATATAATTGAATAAACAGAATAAGATCACATGGGCTATGAAAATGGGAAAGTGGAAAAGATCCATTTTAATGATTAATTGATAAAGTACAAACATAAGGAAATGAGTACAAGAGGTTGAATTGGAATTGAAAACTTATCACTACTGAAAATGAAGAACAACAAAGGAATTGAACACACTTAACTACAATAAAAATAAAGGACACTAAGCATCATTATTGAAACGTTGAATACTGTTCCGAAGTATTACTATCATTTCGTCTTCCCACTGTTCTCGGTTTACTTTCTGTTCTAGACGAGATAGTTGCTCCCAGTTGATCCTATATTGCTCTAGCTCAATTTTCCGTTGTTTCCTTGCCTCCTTGCGCTCCTGTATTTCAAGTCTCTTCATTTCTGCTTCGTTTGACACATTCATCGAATCCCCAAGTAGCTGCAATCGGCTGTTGAATGTTTCTAATTCCTTAAATGCTTTACTTGATGGAGCTTTACCCTTCAATCTCGACTTAGCCTTTTTAATACCTTCAGCACGAGCTACTCTCTCATCACCGACACCCACGCTGGTTGGTGTGGTAGGTGAGGAATTGTCACCCTCATCCCGTGTCCTCTTCCCACTACTTCCGCTCCCTACAGACTCATCCGTCAGTGGAGTTGAATGTGGACGTCCCACCGAAGGCTTGAATGTTTGTTGGTCCAAGAAAGACCGGAATTTGTCCTATTCCTTAATTGGATCCATTCCTCGTAGAAGGTGAATCGTCCGAATGAGTTCTCATGGATTTTGTGGGCCTCTTGGATAACATCATCTTCGTTATAGCCACTTCCCTTTCGCTCCCGGGCCTTATCATAGCTTCCGCACCACTTTAACACGGCTTCAGAGATTCGCATCCACCTTCCCTTAAAACTACTAATAGTTCGTAGGGATATTTCATCTGCATTCGATTCCGTGGCAGCATCGTATGCGTCCAAGACTCTCTTCCAAAATACACCCTTCTTTTGATTTGTGCCGGTAATTATGTCGGTGCTGGTGTTCATGTAGCCGGATATAAGAGCCGCAGTTTCTGATCGCGACCAACCTCTATTGTTTGAACCACTAACACGAAATTCCGGAGTTGATTGGAGTGGTTGCTGTAACTTTTGAGTGAAGTTTTTGGAGTCATGAGAGAAAGAACAGGAAGGTAGGGAATAATAGTACACCACCACCAACACCAAAACTGCATAATAATAGCAAGGAAATCCAGGTAACAATTAAAATAAAACAGAGAGTGAATGGAATTATGGGTTTCCTTTTCCAATTTAATTAAGATGATCAATTATTCCATGAACGCTTATAAGTCAAATCAAATAATTGAATGGAATAAATTTCAAGTCTTACCGATGACCAAAAGGAATTCAAATTACTTATTAGAATTAGATTCACCTAAGTGTAACAATTTCACAGGTTTCTAAATTAATCTAATTATGGTGATTACCAGTATACATAAACAAAGAAAATTAATGTCAAACACCGATTTAGAATTAGATTCACTTACACTGTTTTACACATCTCTGCTTCTATAAATTAGTCTCTGTAAAACATAAAACTCTGTTACAATAATAAACAAATACATTTCTCTAGCGTTCATCTGTTTCAAAAACAAAAATTTTACAAAAAAAATGTTGAAATCTAGTTTTTTCTCGGTTACAATTCAATTGTTTTTAAAAAATGATCAGACATTATCATGGGCTCATAGCTGACCCCTTGGAATATATATATTAACAGCTCTTACTTCTGATCAAAGCTTTACATTTTCCACTCTTACTCTTTCTCTCTTAATCTTCTTCGATTTCTTAGCTAGCTCTTGTAGTATACATTTCCACTCTTGTTAAGTGGCGGAGCAAGCTTTCGACCAAAATGGGTTCAAACAAATCTATATTAATTCTTTACCAAAAGTAAATAAATTTATTATCTTAAATTATTAATAATAAAATATTTATATAAACTTTCATAATGAATTAAAAATCCTAAAAACAAGTTCACACTATATTACATATTATATATTATATATTGCACATATATTAACATACAAATAGTATGTTTTATATTGATAGATTTCTCTGAAATTTGATATTGTATTTGTAGTACCCTAAAATTTTCTACTTTTAGCATGTGAGGTTGGTATCCTAATCAATGAAAATCTTAAATTTTAATTTCCATACTATAGATGTAATCAACAATACAATTAAAACGTTCTCAAAATCAATGCATTTACTTTTGTACAAGTAAACATAATTTTTTTTATGAATTTGTACAATATGACAAGAAATTACCTGAACATTTTTGCTAACAATTGAACAATACCCTTTCTTTAGAGTACTACTACCATAGTACGACAATGGAGTAGATGTATATATATATGTATATATATGAATTTTAAATATGAATTATATATATATATGCATATATATGAATTCTATGAACAAAAAACTTATAAACAACCATATAATGTTGAAACCATAAACATAATAAATCAATATTCGGAGTGACTTATTTTAGTATCTCTTGCATAGTCTGAGCCCACAACAATGACAGGTGAGTTATGTGCTGATAAGTTGGCCTTCAAGTTGTTAACAATATTGGCAAAATCTTGCAAGGATTGTTTGACAGATAAACAATCTCTAATATGATGATCTGCCATGGCTAGCTCAATTGAATTCCTTCAAGTTGTTAACAATATTGGCAAAATCTTGCAAGGATTGTTTGACAGATAAACAATCTCTAATATGATGATCTGCCATGGCTAGCTCAATTGAATTCAAGTGTATACAATTTGTCTATGAATTGTTGCTAAATAATTTAATTTAGAGGGACATTAATAATTTTTTGTCATAACATTATAACAAGATCTTCACTTGAAAGTTGAAACATCTTTACTTGACAAGACTTAAACATCATACATTGAGAATTATTTACAAAGTTTTTATTTTTTTAAAATTGACTTTGACATTTAGTGTATACAATTTGTCTCTGAATTATTTCTAAGTAATGTAAATAGTTTAATATTTTTTTCGTCATAATGAGCTCTTCACTTGAAGCACTTTCATTTGACAAAATTCATACCTCAAACATCAAACCTCTTGGGTCTAAGGTAATGATGTTATCAAATACCTATTGAGAGCCTTGCTTGATAATTAGGTAAGTATAGTTAATTTGACAAGCTAGCAGATCAATATTCTCTCTCAAATTTCCTAGGGTTTCTAGGGTTTTCTTTGTTCTTGAAGTTTTTTTTTAACATCATCCTACCTTTTTCCACCAATTGTGTTAATTGATTCTTGGTTGCTCCTCTATTGGACCAAGTAATCAATCTTTATTCTCTCTCTACATCCTTAATTATAAGGTATTTTTTAATACCTTATTCTCTGTGACAAGGTTTCTTAGTGCCCAAGGGTGTTCTTCAGCAACTCCACCTTCCAATTTTCTTACTTGTTCCTTCCTTGCTACACGTGGGCTACATGCAATTCGAATTAGTGTCTCATTTCCTTTTCTGAGGATTTTTTTTGGTTTTACCAAGCTAAGAAATCACCTTCTTCCTTTACTCCTTATTCTCAAAGTTAATTTTACTTCTACTACTACTGTTCTTTATTCCTTGCTTTGACACTCTTTCTCTTTAAATTCTCTATTAAATTATGTCCTCTCTGTCACTTTAAAATGGCTAACTTGAATCGTTGGATTGTGTATCAAATGGGGGTTTATTTGAATGAACCTTTGGAGAATTATATTACTAATATCGATTGGAACAAAGCGGTTGTGGGGCGATTCTTTGGGCCCAATCCTTCTAGCCGTACGATGGTTCAACAGATGGTCGACATGCAATGGCTTTTTAGAGGTAATATTGTCGTTCATCGTGTACTGGTAATTACTTTATTTTTGCATGCTTGCTTTGGCGGACGTAGAGGCTTTACTTGAGCAACACACCTTTATTTTGGATGGTAGAATTGGCGATGTTCGTAGGTGTAATAGGTTTACTGTACCTGCCAATGTTAATTTTGATATAACTAGATTGTGAGTTAGAGTCTATGGCCTTCCTTTTGGGTATCTTATTCCTGAATGGGCTGTTAAAACCCTAGAACTGGTAGGGCTTGTTGAGACTATCAAATATGATGGGGATGGGCTTCCGAATGAGCCTGAGTTCTAAGGGCAAATTCTGGTCGATCTGTTCCTGCTGAATTCAAACATATTTGGATTTACTTTAGGTATGAAGGTGTTTTTACATTTTGCAAGAAGTGGGGTTGTGTGGGTCATTATAAGGAAATTTGTATATGCTCGGATTATGTTGCGGCTAGGCATGTTCATTCTCGGATGGAAGCCATTGAATCTCAAGGTCATATTGTTATTTATAGTCCGAATAATAGGCCCTTATATACGAAGATGGTGGAGGGAACTCAAGAGAATTTTAATAACTCGTAATACAAGGGTTAACCTACTTATCTTGGCGCAAGATTTCAAGTATCATGATGATAGTTCGGGTAATGATGATGCTAACTTGGATGGTGATAACGAAGATATGGATAATGATGATGATAATCAAGATAATAATGAATCTGAACATGAGGATAATGACGACGAGCAGGAACCTCAAGATGAAAATCAAGATGGAGATGATAATACAGATTCAGATGAA